GTTTAGGGTTTAGGGTTTAGGGGTTTAGGGTTTAGGGTTTAGGGGTTTTCGGGTTTAGGGGTTTTAGGGTTTAGGGTTTAGGGTTTAGGGGTCTAGGGTTTAGGGGTTTAGGGTTTAGGGTGCAGGGTTTAGGAGTTTAGGGTTTAGGGGTTAGGGTTCTGAACGAGGGTTAGAGATGTTTGTATGAAGGTTCTAGAGGGCCGGCCTGGTAGGGGTTACGGAACTTGCTTTTTGCCCCTTAACCTTTTGACGATTCGATGTGGGCTTGGAATAGTTGCACCCCGTGAAAAACCTGATGTCGATCGGCAGTCACTCCATCGACAGCATGACTCTGTCTTACTTTGCCCCTAGGCTTCGTGGCTAAAATTGGGTTTTATGAGGGTCAGCTCTTCACAAGGGCTTCTACCAATAGGTTGAGTGATACTCTTCCATCAGGTTCCTTCTATAATTATCGTACACGTACTTTGCTTACCCGAAAGCCTTCTTCCACATTGTGACGGCCCCCAAACCCGAGAATCCGAAACCCCTAAATCCGAAACCCTATACCCTAAATCCGAAACCCAGAATCCTAAACCCTAAATCCGAAGCCCTGAATCCGAAACCCTAAACCCAAAACCCTAAACCCTAAACCCTCTAAGCCCTATAAACCCTCTAAGCCAAGCCCTGAAGCATAAATCCGAGACCCTGAACCCTAAACCCAGAACCCGAAACCCTGAACCCAAAACCCTAAACCCAAAACCCAAAACCCAAAACCCTAAACCCTTAATCCGGAACCCTGAACCCTAAACCCTTAATCCGGAGCGATGGTCATCCAGGAATGAGAACCAGGAGCTGCTGTACAAGTACAAGACGCTCAAGGCTCATCGGGTCTTCTCCTGTTAGGGTTTAGGGTGCGAGGTTTTCAAGGTGTTAAGGATTTTGGGATTTAGGGTTTAAGGTGTGAGGTTTTCAAGGTTTTAAGGATTTAAGGATTCTAGGCTTTGGGGTTTAGGGTGTGAGGTTTTGAGGTTTTGAGGCTTTAAGGCTTTAGGGATTTTTAAGGGTTTTGGGTTTAGGGTGTGAGGGTTTTAAGGCCTTAGGGGTTTAAGGATTTTAAGGATTTAAGGGTTTAGGGTCTAGGGTGTGGGGGTTTCAAGGTTTTAAGCTTTTAACGGTTTAAGGATTTAAGGACGTAGGGTTTAAAGCGTAAGGGCTTTAGGGTTTAAGGTTTCAAGGATTTAGGGTTCAGGGTTTGGGATTTAGGGTTAGAGCGGGTACACTTTTGAACCCAAGGGTCGCTAGAAGGGCTCACATATTCAACGTAGGGTTTAGGGTTTAGGGTTTAGGGTTTAGGGTTTAGGGTTTAGATCCTGTTCCGCGATAGAGAGGTTGTGTTTAGGTGTTGAGGGTTAGAGCTTTGGGCGGGCAAAGAGTTGAGGGTTTAGGGTTTGAGGGAGTAAGGACGGCTGAAGTCAGCGGTCGCGGAAGGGCGTACTTAACAGTCGAACTTGCGGAACTGAACCCTAAACCGCTTGGTTTCAGCTGTCTAGAAGCTGTCTGGGAATCATCATCCCTGTGCAGTTCTGGGCGAAGTCTATATCCGAAAAGTCAGGAAGCCTTGTTGAACGATGCTTCAGGTTCAGGGTCTATATACACGCCATGAGCTCTGAACCCCCTCCTCGGACCTTTTGCTCTGGTACCATCCGGCCAGATGCAAATGAATGCGCAGCAAGAGCTAATGTCGCGACGTATCGATCTCCGCGAGTGCCACGGCTTAGGGTGTTGCTGTAGTAGGACTCGGGGAGCTTTTTGCTTTTGAGGTTCTAGGGTCTAGGATTTAGGATTTCGGGTGCAGATTAATCTTCAAAGGCGTAATCCCTAAACCCGAAACCCTATAAACCCTAAACCCTAAACCCTAAACCCTAAACCCTATAAACCCTAAACCCTACACCCCAAACCCTCGTATTGTCTGAGCCTCGGAAGCATTGTGGAGTTAGAGGGTGCCTCCTTGGCAGCTCCCAGGTTTCGGGCTTTGTGCCATAACAGAGTGCAACATAACATAGGACAGTAGTACATGTTAGTATAGAGTAGACTATAATAGAATAGTCTAGTATAGTATAGTAGTGTATAGTAGAATAAGTCGAGCATGAGATAGCATAGTATAGTAAATGCAACAGAATACTCTATGATGAAACAGAATGTCATGCTATACCATATCATACCCTTTCCTATCCAATCCTGTGCTATGTTATCCTCTCCTATCCTATCATATCATACCAGGCCACAAGATGTCTTCATGTACCATAATAATCTAGGTGCTTCGGGGATGTGAAACAGAGACATTTGTATCGCTTTGTTCGGTGAGCCTCAAAGGCCTAAAGCACCAAGCCTTTTCGTGGCCGACAAGTGTTGACACAACTTAAAAATCCTAAACCGGAAACCCTAAACCTTAAGGCCCTAAGCCCTAAACCCTACACCTTCAGCCCCAATCCCAGGATCTCAAGCCACGAGCCCTGCAATCCTCAACCGGTAAACCGCTGCACCGAAGTCCTAAACCTCAAGCTCTACGCTTTTAAACGTAGAGACATAGAGCCCCAAACCCTAAGTCGCTCAGCCCCACATCCTAAGCGGTTCAGGGCCGAAAGTTCGGACTCCGACTCCCTATGGAATTGGTTGAGACCTCGTAGCACCGCTGTTAAAAACCCCTAGAGGCCCTGGATGGAACCCTAAGGGGCGAAGCTCTGGGAGTTGCAGGAACACCCGCCTCCGACGGCTCACCGAACCCGTTAGAGCCAAGGGGAAGGGAATTCATTTATCTTAGGTCTGTCGCTCAATTGTTTAGGGTTTAGGGTTTAGGGTTTTCAATGATTTCCATTGGTTCTATACTTGGTTCTATAGGTCAAAGCAGTATAGCCAGGATTCACAGGGAAAGCCAAAGGAGCAGGCAGCAGCTGACGGCACCTTGCAGTGCTGGCTCTTGAGGGCGTGGGCATGGCCGTCCGGCTCGCGTTGACCTCCCGGCGGCCGGGGAGGGACCCGAAAGAAGCGGCGAGCTCAAAGCCCAAGCTCCCTACCCCCACAACCCTAAAAGCTGAAAGCTGAACTCAAAGCCCAAAAGGCTTGACAGTGATGCTATTGCAGGTCATCAGTTTGCACAAAGCAGCTGCTCGATTCCAAACCCCAAGCGCTCAGCACCCTAACATCCCGACCCAAAGCCTCAACCTGAAGCCGGAGCTCGACTCAGTCCTAACCAGCAAGCCTGAATACTTGACCCTCTGTCCTGAAATTTCCAACCCGCATACTCAGCCCTGAACCTTAAACCCTAAAGCCTAAACCCCGAAACCCTGAACTTTGGGCCCTAAACCCGCCGAGGTTCGCGGAAGCTGAAATACAGACTGTTCCCCCGTCCCGGTGTGATCGATTCACGGAGCCTCGTACGGCATATTATGCTGTATTGCACCATACTATACGATATTATTATTTGTATATTGTCATGTTTGGTTGTTGTTTAGTCTTACACATTGTAATGACCTTTTTGTTCCATTATGTTGTATTGCAGTATGTTCTATACTAACGAATCTGACTTTAGGCTTTGGTCAGGGCTTCCGTCAATGCTTTGGTTAGGGCTTCAGTCAATGCAGCTGTTACTTGTTTTCGAAGGGCGACAGCTGATTTCTTTGCAGGGCCCAAGAGCATATGCTATACTTGGGTTCACGTTCGCCTCCTAGAAAAACCTAGGCTATGGTAGTTCAACGTTCCCTAAACCCTAAACCCTAGACCCTAAACCGAGTTTTAGGGTCTTTATCGTCGGATAGAGCTTTGGGTGCGAGCTTCTGGGCTCCAGGGTTTAGCCTTCCTTCTGTTGCTTGCGACCTTCCGATCACCTGCCCAAGGTTGCATCAAGCCGGCACTTCTCGGCCAAGCCCCAAACCCTAAACCTGCATGGAGCGCAAGCGACGAAAAAGGCCAATTAAACAGAAGCAAACTCTAAACCCGAAACCCCAAAACCATTTATCTCGTTGTTTGGGGTGTCTCTCTGCGCTCGAAGGTTCTGTTAGCCCTTGCCCTTCAGCTTCGAGGCCCCAGGCGTAAAGCCCTTCGATTTCGAAGCCTCCACCGAGCCCGGCCCCCCCCCCCCGGGCCGCCAGAAAAAGAAGCCCCCGAAGAGGCTCTGAGCCCGAAAATTCGGGGTTGAGGGTTGGGGTTCATTTTTCAGGGTTTCGGATTTATGCTTTAGGGTTTAAAGTTTATAGGGTTTATAAGGCTAAAAGGGTTTAGGATTTAGAATTTGGGGTTTAGGGTTCAGGGTTCAGGGTTTTCGGAGTATAGGGTTTAGGGCTCAGGGTTTCGGATTTTAGGGTTCAGGGTTTTCGGAATATAGGGTTTAGGGTACAGGGTTTTCGGAATTTTTGGGGTTCAGGGTTCAGGGTTTTCGGAATATAGGGTTTAGGGCTCGGGTTTTCGGAATCTAGGGTTTAGGGCTTCAGGGTTTCGGAACATAGGTTTTAGGGTTCAGGGTTTAGGGCACAGGGTTTAGGGTTCAGGGTTTTCGGAGTTTTTAGGGTTTAGGGTTCAGGATTTTGGGTTCAGGGTGTTCGGAATATAGAGTTTAGGGTTCAGGGTGTTCTGAATATAGGGTCTAGGGTTCAGGGTTTAGGGCACAGGGTTTAGGGTTCAGCGTTTTCGGAATACAGGGTGTAAGGTTCAGGGTTTAGGGTACAGGGTTTCGGGTTCAGGGTTTTCGGAATATAGGGTTCAGGGTTCAGGTTTTCGGAATATCGGGTAGGGTTTGGGGTTAGGGTATTGTTCAGGGCTCAGCCCAAATAATCCAAATCTCAAACCGGAAAGATATGAATATGAAGCGTTCGCCAGTCTCCTTTGGACGAAAGTGTCGCTCAGGTGACAGAGCCTACGAACATGGTCAGCCAGGAGGCTACAGGGTTTGGGGCTTCGGGCTTCCATTATTTAGAGTTTAGGTTTTAGGGCTTTGGGTTTCGGGTTTTGGCTTTATAGGGCTTAGCTTGGTGTTCCCTGGCTTTTGGACAGTTGGGTCGTAAACACTTCTAGCGCTATCATGCTTTATCTTAAGGTGTATTGGCGAAGCACCGCAAACCCCTAAACCCCGAAACCCCAAACAGGCGTGGTGTAATTTTGGTAGCTCAGATTCGGAAGATGAGTACCTCAAAACTGTTCAAATCAGGGCTCCTAAAACATAGGAGTGGCCTGCGGTCAGTATAAGGTTCTACAAGGATATCTGGTTTAGGGTTTGGTGATAGGTTTAGGGTTTTGTAGTTTAGGGCTTCGGCAGTTCGGGGTTTGTTTCGGGTGTAGGGTTGTTAGCGTGAGGTTTAAGGCTTTTGGCTGGGGTGAAAGTTTTGCTTGCGCATGAGAGTGAAAGGTTTATGCCTTCCTTACACTAAGCGGTTCAGGTAGGAACCCAACAGAAATCATGACAGCGTGCGCAAAGAAGAACGCAACCGCCAACAGCACCGACACCGCTGCCAGCAGCAACAGCAGCAACAGCAGCAGCGGCCACCACTGTGCCACCGCCACCACCACCAGCACCGCGGCCACTGCGACCGAGTCGCCGTCACCACGCCACCGGCATTGGCACCTTGACTGTCAGCTACAGCAGACCATCGCAAGGCCATCGTCAGCTTCGCAGTCAGCTTCAGTTTTATCATTATCGTCATCAACTTCGCCATCATATCTCTAAGGTAAAGAATCATCGCCATTGTGACCGTCACCGTCACCATCATCAGCATCGTCATCATCATTAGCAGCAGCATCAGCAGCATCATGGCTTTCATCTCCCTCTTCATCGTCAGCGGGCCCTAATAATCCCAAGTGCAGGTGCAGGTGCAGATGCAGACGCAGACCGAGGCACCAGCCTCCACACCAGCGGCAACTTCGGCGAGGCTGCCTTTTCGGAGGAGGACACAGCTCACGCAACCAGCGCCCCCGGGGCGACGGTCGAGGACGCGTGGATGGGGTGGTTGAGGGGATTCTTGGAATGTGGGGGCAGGGGGGGATTTTGGAATGCTCTCCCTGCAAACGCAGGAGTGATGGGGCCGGCAATGCTGGTTTTCCGATGTGGGATTTCGTATCTAAGTTCTGGGTGTCTCCCGGGGTCCTCATGCAGCGCTAAGTGTTTCGAAAACTTGATTCGGCATAGCCCCGCGTTTTTGGTTGGATCTGGAGAACAGGAGAAGCAACCGCAACAATTAAATCAATCCATTGGGTTGCCCTGGAAACGCCATGCCAGAAGTGCACTTTGCCGAATCACAAGCCACCGGGTCACCTCATCACCTGACCACGAATGACGACAGCACATGGTCAAGTATATTGGCATCATCGCACCGTGTGGTCTTCGCAGGATCGCATCGCATCACATCTGGCCACATCACAACATCCCAGTAAAAAAGCATGACGAAGGCCAGCACGTCAACTTCAGAAAGAGTATAGCGCACCCCCCCCCCCCCATCACAGCTCACGCACACCACATCACCAAGGATCCCGTCATCGACCGTAAAATACCTCCTCGCAGAGCCTTCTAGCATCGCTATACACCAGATCCCAAAAGCTTCGAGACCCATCACCCTCAGCATCACATGCACGTATCACAAAAATGTTGTTTCGTTTCTGTCCACGAAAACTATCCGAATTCACGAGGCAACACTTCAGCATCTTGCTTTACATGGCTTCAGGGGCTCCAAGCATGAAAGCACCACTTTGTACGCAGTAGCAAACACCGTCGAACTGCACTTGAAGCACGTTCTGCTCAACGATTTTGTGATGCCGTCGCCGCACTTTATCATATCGCTTCAGTCCCCAGCCATCTTGCAGTGGTTTTAGATACCAACATATTCATTTCAAGTCATGAGGAATCTCACGTCACAGTTCAGTTCAGACTGGTCATATCTCATGTCAAGAGTCATCGCACTTCCCGCCGTTGCCTCAGAAATCAGTAGGTCACCAGACCACAAAGTGGCAGATAACCACATTCTGTCATGCCACGAGAATCGCACGTGCAACTGCCGATCCTCGCACTGCACTTGGCCTGTGTCTTGCTATGGGGGGTTGAATTTAGGATAACTTAGGATATGTGTATATACAAAGGTTTCAGTCTAGGGGGCCTTAATCATCAGAATACGGCTTGGGTATCTTATACAATACTCACAATAAGGAGCACGGGGTCCATTGCTGTGTTCTTCGCGACGAAGTGCTTCAGACCCTTATAGTCCGCTAAGTCAGGGCCCATCGGCTTTTGGACATTTTGTCGTGTTTGGCATCAGGGTTCTGAAAGTTTAGGACCTAAGTTTAGGATTTAGGAATTAGGGTTCGGAAAGAATTAGCCAGCATTGCTGAGAAGAAAGCAGAAGTAATGCATGGAGACCACGGAAGCACGTTATTGAGCAAGGCCTCTTTCGTGCCTGTTTTGCGTCTTCAGGGTCCTCCTTCGAGATGCCATGTTTTGTTCGTGTATAGGTTTCGAGGTCTTTGGTTCAAGATGTCATCTTTCAAAATTCCGTCTAAGCGCTTCGGATCAGTGTGCGGGTGTGGAGGATCTGCGGTGTGCTGCCTTTTATCCTGAAGTTTTCGCAAAAGGACGTACGTGATTCGATGAGACGTATTGAGATTTTACTCCATGGGCTTGGTTGCATGAGGTCTAGGCCCTGCAAGCCGCCAAAGCCCCAATTGCAGAATTCTCGCCTGAGCCCCGAATCCGACACCCTAAACCCAAAACCCTAAATCTGCGCCCCAAGCCCGAAACCTTAATCGCAGGATGCCGACGATGAAAATCGAAGTGACAGACGCGGACCTGCCCCTGATGGATTCTTCTAGTGATGATGAGGAGCAGACTCGCCAGGGAACTTTAGAATGCTAATGCATACTATATTGAGATTCCATAGGGGGAAGGTTTTGGGGTTGAAACTACATAGTGTACTCAGGAAAAAGTTTGTATATATACTCAGGAAATATGTTACATTTTTTGTAATACCCTTATGAGCCTTCTTTTCAGCTTCACTTCGGCACTTATCTTTTCAGAACTTCAGACCATTTCATTCTTGCTTGTCTTACTGTAGGGGTCTGGGTCTTAGGAACACCTCAGCCCTGAACCTGAAGTCGCAACGACGAGAATTTTTTGAAACAATATCCGTAGCAGCAGTACTAGTAGCAGCAGT